ATAGGGCCAGTGTAAATGAAGCTAATTAAGAGGGTTGGATGTGTCCCTGTCATAGCTTTTGAAGTGACAATGGGAATATCAAAGTCAGGGGAAATTGGCTTTGTAGTGAATTAACCAGTTAATATCTTTATTCAAGCACAGGGTGACAGTGTCAAATTTGTAAATGAATTATAGTTCTGCAGTTTCTCTCTGTAATTGGGCAGCAAGATTCCCTTGTAGAAGAGTGGCTACTTTTTAATTGTATCCTTTGGTATATATGGTTGTGACTATTTTCTTCCACTATTTGATCTGAGGAAGTGGGTCTGGCCCACGAAAGCTCATCATCTAATAAACCATCTTGTTAGTCTTTAAAGTGCTACATAGTCCTGTATTTTGTTTTGGCTACTTTTAAGTCCACGATTGAGTGGTCCAGGTAGTTTAAAGTGTTCCCCTACAGGTTTGTGTGTGTTACCATTCCTGATGTCTGATTGTTTCAACTTAAGTAAAAGGTAAATTATCTAATTTGAAAATCTTTAAATCAAGATGTGAAGACTTCATTAACTTAGTAAGAACTTACAGGTCTATTGCAGGAGTTAATAGGTGAGATTCTGTGGCCTGTGAGGGACAAGAGGTGACACTAGGTGATCATAATGGCCACTTTCTGGCCTTAAAATTATGAGCAGTTATCAATGTTTTGTTGTCAAACTGCAGAAAACCTATCTATTGAGATCCTGCAATGGGTATTCAATATTTTCATCAACAAATTAGGTAAGTAGATTTCATTGGTATGGTATATGAATGAATTGAACCAGGAGGGGTTACAAGAGCTTTAAAGGTCAGGGTTATTATTCAAATTGACCTCGAAAGATTGGAGAATTAGTCTAAAAAAACAAACAAACCAAACAAGATTAAATTTAACACAGAAAAATCAAAAAGTACTTCACTGAGGAAGGAAAAAAATGCACAAGTTAGCGATGGATGAAAGATTAACAGGTAAGCATAACCATTAGTGGGTAAGGATGGTGTCAGGAGCTGCCCCTGTCTGCAGTGAGGTGCTGCTCCAACCCTGCCATGGCAGTGTGTGGGTGAAAAAGCTCCAGCCCTCACCTTTTACCTGGCTAATCAATTAAATGGGATTGTACATCCCTACTAGAAGTTGGGGAATAACTGGTTAAACAGTTGTACTGCTGAAGGATCTGGGGACTACAGTGCACTACAAACCGAATACAAGTCAAAGAGATGCTGCCGCAAAAAACTGCTAATATTTGGCATGTATTCTGGCACTGAACTTTCAAGTGCTTGACTTTACAACACTGAAAATCATATTAACTTGCTTAATTTTTCCAGTTTTTTTTTTAAATCCACCCTGTGGTGTTATATTGACACCCACATGGATCATCATCAGGAACCATTAGATACATTATCTATTCTATTCAAGTAGCAGTGGTGCGTGGTGTCTCTCCTCTCTCCAGAATTTGGGGGAATGTGTACTTTTATAGGCATATTTTTTTCTTCCTACTTCTCCACCCACCAAGCTTGACACTTTCTCCACATGTTCTCCTCCAACTTGTCCCATCTCTTGGACATTAGGAAAAAATTCCTAACTGTCAGGGTGGTCAAATATTGGAATAAATTGCCAAGGGAGGTGGTGGAATCTCCCTCTCTGGAGATATTTAAGAACAGGTTAGATAGACATCTGTCAGGGATGGTGTAGACGGAGCTTGGTCCTGCCTTGAGGGCGGGGGGCTGGACTCAATGACCTCTCGAGGTCCCTTCCAGTCCTATTATTCTATGATTCTACACACCTTGCTCCTTATCCCAATCTCTGCATTAGTTAGTCCTAGTTTCCATTTTTCAGACTTCTCATCTCCTTCCCACCCCAGGTTTCCGACTCTGACCCTTAGGTCTGTATCTTTGTTCTGCAAATCCCAGTCTCCCTCCTCAATTCCTGCCAGTTTTCTTGTCTCAATCTACTTCTCCATGTCATCCCTTTCTCATCTGTATTATAGTCAAGTAGATTCCTCCTCCAAGCTATCTGGGCTGATCAAGGGCCACCAAGAGGACAGGAAAGCCTCAACTTTGTCATCTGAGAAGCATGAATCCCGCCTGACTTACAGCAGCCGAGAACTGGGGTAACAGATGAAGTCCTGCTGAGTCCTAGGCTGGAGCATACTCAGTGTAGATTGAATGTTCAAGGAAATTAATTGTTAAGTAGTCCACAGTGAACATGTGGGAAGCACAATTTTTCAAAGGTGTTTAACTAACTCAAATTTGGATAAATATTCACAGGAATGGAAAAGGCAAATCCTGTCACATTTCAAATCTGTTCTTTATTGCTTGGGCAAAACATTTCTCTCAAATCGGTGTTTTCACAAACTGCAGAGCCATTTTGGCTGCAAAATTTTAAACAAATTTGGTCTCAGCCAGACATCTGACAAAGTTTTAACCCAAACTTAACATTTGACCAAGGAAAATATCCGGCTGACTTATTACCTTTTGAGTTTTTGGCTAGCTGTTCTTCAAACTCCTTTTTAGCTTTTCTTATTGCATTTTTACACTTAATTTGGCAGTGTTTATGCTCCTTACTATTTACTATTCTGCACTGGGGAGGGGGAGGGACACAGGCAGAGGGGAGACACTCAGTTTCAGCCCCAGCTGGGCTGCCTGGAGGTTGGGAGAGGAAAAGAAGTTTTGACTGGAGAAAAACTCCAGTAATTGTTGTTTGTTTTTTATAAAGGAATGTAAGTCCTAGCTTAGAAGCTGCAATGGCACTGGTCAGGAAAGATGCCCCTTCTCTAAAACTTAAATGGTAATCACTTGGATTCCAGACAAGTGATTTCCATTAGGTTTTAGAATTTGTTGTTTGCGGGAGAGGTATTGAAAACTTAAGGCCAGATCTTTATTATCTAGTATAGTTCTGGCTCTTCAGAGTACTTCAGTGACTTGGACTTGCAAAGATACAGACTTCCTCCCCAATGCAAACAGATAGACATCACACCCAATCGACTCTACGTTTTTCGCTAATTGTAAACTCCACTCCAATCTCATCTGATGAAGTGGGTTTTACCCATGTAAGCTTAATGCCCTAATGAATCTGTTGGTTTACACTGAAGAACTCTTCATTGCTTTTGCAGATACAGACTAACACTGCTACCCCTCTGGGACTAGGTTTAGTGTTATGCTTTGTAGGATGAAGACCTCATTTGCAAGCTCTTTGGAGCTGGAATGCAAACTCCAAAACCATGTGTTAAGGTTCCCTATTTCTTTAATGTAGGTGTGGTGGGCTGGAAAATACTAAGGTAAGTTTAATGAGCCTATTGATTTTTAAGTCAGTGTAACAGTGAGAAACCAGGAAAGAAAGTTGCCTTTTTTACCAACCTCTGCTGCACTTACAGCATGCAAGTCCTAAACACTCATTTAAAATACACATAAACAACCACTCGTTTTATTTTCCTTTGTATTTTCAATGTTGTCATTTGTTTATAAATTTTGTTTGCTATGTTTTATTTATTTTTACTGTTTTGTGTGTGTGAAGTATTGAGTTGATATCCTTTAGAAATTGTATAGGCTGGAGTGAATACCTTTTACTCTCCTAGTATCAGAAAATATATTAATATCTGTGAAGAGAGCATGACTTTCTATTTGACTCAGATTTTTTTAGTATCTTTAAAGCTGAGCTGTGTGCAGATGATATACATGCAACATGGATGGTTTTGTGACCTGCAAAAGTCCATAGTAAGATAGTATTTTGGCAGATGCTTCATTTTTGAGAGAAGCTTTCCTGAAGATTTAGTGGCTTATATGTGGTAGGAATAGGCGGTTATTAAATTGGATGTCTGGTCCCTATTTCTATGCTTTCACTTAATGGCCATGCATTTCTTTATATAGCTGTTTTAAGTAGACCACATTTTGGTGTTTACACTAGCATGAGTTGTTAGAAAGGATGATAAAAATATATGTATACAAAAGGTAGTGTTAATTTTATTTTTATTTTATTTCATTTGATTTACAGATGAAGGCTGTAAATTATGCCTTGTTTTAATATTCTTCTTTCCATATCTGTGAACTTTTATTTAGGTATTTTGTTTCTACTGATGGCGCATATCTGAGCATTGTATCAATATTGGTGCACATACAAAATTCAATCGACCTAGGAATGGAAAAATTAAAGGCATACTATGCTACCTCACCTCATTCAAAGAGTGTTGGCTTAAGAGTTAAGTTCTGTCCAATTAAAACTAGAGATGAAATCAGGTAACTGGTTACCCAGTAAAATCATAACCTTTACTGGGTGATGCTTACAGGGTAATGGTTAATTGGTACCTAGGAGCAACCCGCTGTGGGCAGAGGGCTACTCCAGCCCCATGGGTGTTGGCCGCCCTGAACACGGGTGAACTTGTAGCAGAAGTTGGCCACCCTGCACGCAGGGGGCACCCCAGGAGTAGCAGTCCCACATAGAGAGGGGTAGCGGCGGAGCAGGAGTGGGGTTGCTCCCACTGGGATTCTGCTTAATTAGTTAAATTGGATTTTATATATCTAATTAAAGCTATGTAAGGTTGATAATATCAACATTCCTGAAGAGATAATGCTGACAGTTTCAGACTGCTTCCTTTTCCCTAATATCTCTGCAGGGTAAGTAGGCTAGAGAGAAAGCCCAACTAAAAACAAATAAGACAAAACACAATCCTAGTATTAAGTATCTTTTAAGCCTTTAGGAGGCCTTTAACCTAAACAGTATTTTGAAAGTTTCAATTGGGAAAAGGCGGAGGCAAGTTTACACTAAATTCTAGTCTTTCATATAATGAAGTCTTTCAGAGCAGAACACTTCAGGTCCAGTAAAAGTCAACCTAAACTTTAGATATCAGAACTAAACACAGTTCCTCCCCAATTTTATGGGTGACATATAAGTTATAAAAGTTAGAGGTATATGCAGTGTATTCTAGAGCCTTTTTTCTCTCCTCACCACCGCAAACAGATGTAAGTGTTAACTAATGGAGTATGATTGAACATAGCATGCTTACGTTTTCTGTCATCTCCACATGCAACTTCAGCAAGGTATCGGAAGTAGTCTCCCTTCATCTTCAGGTAGAATACCTTGCTCTCTGGATTAGTTGCATTAGCTATTAAAAATTTGTCCAGCAGCTCCTAGAGCAGGAATAGGAGACATTAACATGTTGCAAGCACTGTAATGGAAACCCCTCCAAATACTGGTTTAAGATAAAGCAATCCTAGTCATGTTCTGAGGCACATTGCATATATGCTCAGAAGCAGCTCAATGCAAGAATAAAATCTGCAAAATATTCAGAAATTCTTTAACAATTTCTTTTAGATAAATGTGTATTTACTTGACAAATCAGGCTACTTCCACAGTAATGAACATAAAAAAAGCCTAGAACATTTTCAAGTCTCCAATTCAGTGAGAAAGAATGAGGTAAGTTAGAAAAGGGAAAAATCCAGTAGCAAATGGAAAGCCTTTGCTTATTCACCAAGGAAGATTCCATTGAAGCTTAGTCCAAGACCAGTTTATTTTTTCCACTGGAAAAAAAATGTATCACAAATGCAAGCCTCTTTTGAAAAGATGGATTTTTTATGGCCAAAATTAGTGGACAGGATTTTATTTACTTTTTAGTGATATTCAGTAGTCAAATATGACTGAATATTTAAGTATGCCTGCCAATCTGTTGTAGGTATAGAGCAAGCATGATACCCAGATTCAAATGAAAGCTTGCAGCCCATAGAAACCAAATTTCAGAGCCTCAGTTATTAATATATGATCATATGTCTGAGCCTGGAGACAACTGTGTAAACCTACAACAGCTTAACACATGAACCACCCCAATAATCCCCACTGGGGATTCATTGAAACACTGGTGCAATTTACAGATGTTCAAATGTACATGTGCATTTTGCACACTATTTCTAGATAAATTCTATGAATCAATAAATGTTAAGGCAAGAAAGAGTCATAAGGTAGACTGACATCTCGTACGCAAGAAGCAATTAAATTTCATCCAGTTATCCCATACTGAACATAACTTGTGGTTGGCTAAAGAACATCATCTAAGTCTTGATCTGAAGATTTTAAAGAAATGGAGAACCCACCATTAAGGTAATCTACTCTCCACGGGTGAGTAGATTATAGCCCGGCACAGTGCCACAGTACGATCAGCGCATGCACGTGCTGAACCACGCGGCTGGCGAGTGGGGCTCGCCGCGGCTCGGCGAGCCCTGATAATGGCTAATGATAGCTAAATTCAAAATCAGAAGCAATGCACTCATTGTCTGGCTTCAACGTGTCAAGCCATTAGTTCTCATCTCTTCCCCTTATTGACTAATTGTGTACTCAATACAAATTGTATTGACTACACGATAAGCGAGATAAGGATGTAAAATTGTGGTTAATTCCAATATCCTTACTCTAGTGCCATGAATATAAGTAAAAATCATCTCCCTAGTCCTATTTATTATTCGCATTTACACATCCAAGGGCTG